CAGGCACCATTTTATGCAAATATTCCTCCTTCCGTAAATGTAATTCCAATTTGTTTTTAGATATAGCTATATGCTTTTCAATCTCGCATGCTTCAGTTACCACCTTACACAGATATACATCACTCGGTATACTCTTACTCATTTTACAATTATAAATATATTGCTTCCCTAAAAGTACCAAATAATTCGCCAACACTGAAAAATCAGTACAGCCTAAAATTATCTGCCTGAGGGAAAGAGCATCTGGACCAAAGATATTTTTAAATACATCACTAAAGGCAAACCAAAATTTTTTTGTATATTTACAATAATAAAAAAGATGGTAAGTAGTTTCCGTTTCCTGATGACAGAACGAACAATTCGGACTACTAACGTTTGATGATTTCATTTTAAAAAGATCATAATTAGTAAACAAAATTTTATGTAGTAACTTAAATTGAAATTCTCTTGATTTCGTGTCGATTGCTGTCCTAAATAGTAAAACGTAATATTTAGACATTGCAGCAAAATTGAGTTTAAAATCTTTTATAAAATACTCTGAACTATTTGGATGAAAAGTCTTTGCACGAAGAAAGTTATTTTTTATACAATTTTTACTTAGCACAGATGCCAGTATATTCTTACCATCAATACAAATATTTGGCACTGAATCGTACGAAAACCTTCGGATAGGATAGGAAACATGTGACCAAGCTTCCCTCGTGGTTTTTGTAATTGCATTAAAAACACAAGTCACAAGATATATTTCAAGTCTGGTTAGGTTATGTTTAGCAGATAAGACAGCAATACTAACGGGTGTGTTATTTGAAAATAAATCACCAATGCAACTGATACCCTTATTGGCTATTGTAGGGAAAAACACAGATTTGTTATCAATTAGGATATCCTTGTTGTTCCAAATTATATGATGTGATATTTGATTTTTAATATCTAAATTTTGAAGAGTAGACCAAGCTACCAAGGCTTCACGATAAAATTCGGACAGGTTGATTTTCAAATATTCAAGTCCGTAGTTACAACTAAATATTAAGTTGCCTCTAACAGGCTTTATCGTTTTTAAGAATAATTTTTTCCATGCATGGGTCGCTGAATGGTCAAAGTACCTTTTCAACCACATTATACGAAATGTACCATACATTGTAAAGATATCAGGGGCTTTCAAGCCACCTTCTCCTATGTCTGCAATCATAACATTGCGGGCCACCCGGTCATGACCTTGCCAAATAAAATTGAAACACTTTCTATTTACCTCAAGTAAAACTTTCTTTGGTACAGAGACCATTCTCATAAGATACACAAACTTTGATATAGCAAAGCTCTTCACATTCTGTATTCTACCAATTAAAGTTAAATTTCTTTGCTTCCACAGATTCAAGGTTAACTGTAAATTTTCCATTGGCTTGGCGTAATTTAAAGTAGCAGCTCAAACATAAACACCAACAATCTTGATTGGCTCCTTAGGCCATTTAATACCAAAATGTGTGTCTTTTCGACCTTTCCAGGGCCCAAGCCAAAGGGCTTCAGTTTTTTCTGTGTTTACTTTTAACCCTGATACTTTTTGGAAGCAATTCAAAAGCTTAAACAAATGTATTACAGAACATTCATCTTGCAAGAAACATGATAGGTCATCAGCAAATGTTACATCTGTTACAAGTTCATCACCCAACTTAATACCTTGAATATTTGGATTTGCCCGCATGGAGATTAAAAACACTTCCAGCGCCAGAATAAACAATGTAGGGGACAAAGGGTCTCTCTGTCTGACCCCCTTCTGAACTTTAAAATAACCCGTGGTAAAACCATTATTGATAATCGAACTTTCCACGTTACAGTAATACGATTTCACCCAACGAATTAATGATGGACCAAAATTAAAAGTTTTCAGGCAATCAAACAAAAAAGGCCACTCTAAAGAATCGAAAGCTTTCTCAAAATCAATGTCAACTAAAATACCTGGGATATTATTCTCATCAGTACTAAGGAGTACCTCCTCAATTAACCTAATTAAATCCGTGACGTCCCTCCCCTTAACGAAAGCTGATTGTGTATAGTGAATAAGTTTTGGTAAAAACTTTTCCATCCGCTTTGCAATACAAAGAGAACCAATTTTAGCATCTACATTGATTAGCGATATTGGCCGCCAATTTTTAATATATTGTTTGTCTTTACCCTTTTTCTCGATCAAAGTGATTATACTCTGGCGCTGGGAGTTTGACAGACAGCCATGGTCATAGGCATAGTTTATGGAATTAAGTACATAAGAACTAATAATAGACCAAAAAGCAATATAAAATTCTACTGGGCGACCATCGTTTCCAGGTGTCCTGCCTTTTGACATGGACAACAGGGAACGGTGCGCCTCCCCGAGTGAAATATGACCTTCACACTCACTCATTTCATCATTCGAAAGTTTTGGTATGGTTAACCCCGAAAAAAATTTACGTCCAAAGTTGTATTTGTGTGATTTGAACTGTAAAGGGTTGCATAATATTTTTTTCAATTCGGCCAAAATTTCAGATTTAGATTGTTTTAAATTATTGTCGGAGCCTATAATTCTCGTTATATGAGATCTATGTTGATTTCGTTTTTCCAATCCCAGAAAAAAACTTTGTGCTCTTCTCTCCCTCTTCCACCCATTGGGCCCTTGACCGAACAATTAAACCCTTTACAGCATAATCATACAGTGAATCAAATTCCGCTTTAATGTCGTTTAAATATTCAATATTTTTAGGGGTGGGATTCAAGCCACATAAAATATCAAGATCATTCAATGTATGTTCCAATTCTTCGATTTTTGAACGACGTTGTCGTGCTTTTTGTTTACTATATTGAATAGTAAATTTGCGTATTTCATACTTCAAGAGATCCCAAAGAAGCCCCTTATCACCTATGTTACTATATTTTTTTTCCCATTCAACAAAACGTTCGCTAAATTGGTTATGATAATTGTTGTCATCTAAAAGACTGCAGTTGAATTTCCAAAAGGAAGGTCCACGTGGTGAATCATGTGGATCTAAAACAAGGGCAACAGCCGAATGGTCGCTAAATAAAACTGGGCTGAAGTCGACAGAGTCAACAATGTTTTGTATATGGTCAGATATAAGAAAATAATCAATCCTACTGGCAATAGGTGTGGTCCCACCTCTCCTCCAAGTAAAACGTCGAGTATCCATATTGCGGATACGCCATATATCTACCAAGTCATGTTTTTCTAGCAAATTTGAAAATGATTTCTTAGATTTAACCCAGGTATGGGGGTTGCCTCCCTGACGGTCAATGTTAATATCGTAGGTAAAATTAAAATCGCCCCCAATGATAATCTGAGTGTCAGGATCATAATCTAAGTTGTCGATACATGACTGAATATGTTCCAGAAAAGAACAGTGTGACTTTTCGTCATTTGGGGCGTAAATATTAAGCAACAAGAAAGGGTTATTTTCAATTAACGTATGTATAAGAACAAAACGACCATCAGGGTCGATGACAGTGTTTTTAACATCAAAGTCTATATCACGAATAACAGTAAGCACTCCCCTACTACTATTAGTACCATGTGAAAAGAAACCCTGACCTCTAAGTTGCGACGACCAACTATACTGATCTGTGGAGAGACTATGGGTCTCCTGGAGGAAAATAATATTCACTTGTTTTCTATTTAGCCAATTCCATACTTTCTTTCTTTTGACGAGATTTCTTATACCATTGACGTTCAACGTCACAATTTAAATTTTTGGTACCATTTCTCACGATGAGATAACTTGTAGTCTCTTATACAAAACAGTGCAAATAACATAATTAAAAATAAACTACAGTACATAAAACATATAATTTTTTTTACACTTTACAGATAAAGCAAATTCCTAATTACATTTGTAAAATATATGTTTTGGAAATTGCGTACGAATTACGACATTTAATGCGGTAAATGCTTTATATGCTTGCAAAAAAATAAGATCTTTGTACAAATTACGGACGAATAAAATAGATTACATTTTACACCTTGCCCATGTTTACGAACGTTTTTTTATTTATTTAAATTACATTATTACGAAAGTGAAAACAAATGATTACAGCTTACAAAAATACTCTTGCCTTGCCAACCCCCATAAACATTTACTGTGTTGTGGAGTTTACGGAAATTTACTTAAACAATG